AAAAAAAAAAAAGAAAAAAAAAAAGAAAACGATGCTCGTTTTACTCCCTGTTTAATTACAACTGAGGCCTAATGAAACTAGGAAAAACCGAATCACCCTAAAATGTAAGTAAGTTTCAAGTAAATTTAGGTTTAGGCCCAGATGAAGAAGTGTTCTGGTGACCGAGTTTTTGAATCCAGTGGAGAAATCCCTTCTTGGGGTCATGGAAAATCGGGTTCTGCACGAGATTCAAGGTTCCATCGAGAGCAAGTGACGAGTCAAATTCTTCTAGAACCTTCACAATCTGCCAGAACTCGGGCCTTTTGTCCGGATGCAAGGACCAACATTGTTCGATCAAAGCTTTCATTGCTGGGGCACAGTCCTTAGGTACAGCTGGCCTCAAGTTCTAGCAAAACACACACACACACACGAGTAAAATTTTTGATTTAAAACAGAAATAACTTATGGTTTTAAAGTTAATTGGAGAAAAGGAGAATCAAAATACAAAAAACGATTCATTTGGCATCGTGAATCTTCCTAAGGGTGTGTTTGTTTATCACAAAACGAAATCTTTATTCAATTCATACTCAAAATCTAATTCAACTTTAACCCAACTCCACTATCCTCAATATTATCAATATAATTAAATAATATTAACCAATCATTCTTACACAACACATCAACTTCAATTCACTATTCATCCACTCACATAATTTTAACTAACCACCACTTCACATCATCCATCTCACCTCTTTTTACATCAGATCAGCTTTAATTATTTTATTTTAGAATATTATTTTAATATAAACTCTTTTTTTTCAAAATTAACCATGGTTAACCAAAAAAACTCGTTTTGAGCAGATAATATTTGTATTCAAACACGCCCTAAAGATCCAGCCTTTATAGAGTCATGTCCTCATAAGGTATATCTATATATATATATATAATGCAAACAGAAATAACTTATGGTTGCTCTTGTTTCCTCTTGCCTCACAGTTTCACATAAATCAAAAAACCATAACAACTAACCATACAACATTTTTTTCAAAATTAACTCTAGTTAACAAAAAAAAAAAAATTGAGCAGATATATTTGTACCCAAACACACCCTAAAGATCCAACCTTTACAGGCAGATTATAAATAAAATGCAAACAGAAATAACTTATGGGTTGCTCTTGTTTTTCTTTTGCCTCACAATTTCACATAAATCAAGAAAACCACATATATATATAAAGATTGTACCTTGTTCACCACAGCAAATGCAGCTTGTATAGGTGTCATATCCTCGTACGGTATAGCCCCAGCCACGAGCTCCCACAAGATAAGCCCAAAACCGTACACATCAACTTTTCGCCCGTATTTTTTCCGCTTAATCATCTCAGGCGCCATCCATCGGTAAGTGCCTGGGTCATCCGCCAGCAAGTCACAGTAAGCCTCTTCACAAGCTATGCCGAAATCAGCTACTTTGAGGTGAAAATCGTGAGTTATGAGGATATTTTCAGGTTTGAGGTCCCTGTGAATAACTCCCTGAGAATGTATGTATTCCATTCCCTTTGCTATGTCGAGAGCCATCGAGATTAGCTTGGGCATGGGAAGAGAGTCCTTGTATTTGTGGAGGTATGCTCTAAGGGAGCCCTCGGGCAAATACTCGGTTATGATGCAAAAGACTGCCGGTTTTCGGAAGGCAGCCACAAGCTACAAAAATGTAATATAACGAGTAAGTTTACACACGCGTGAATAGGATAAGATGAATACTTTGACATAAAATTTTTCAAAAAAAAAAAAAAAATAAAAAAAATAATAAATCTTTTTTAACCAATCATTTTTTATTTTAACTCAACCCCACTATCCTCAATATTATCAATATAATTAAATAATATTCAATCAATCATTCTTACACATTGCATCAACTTTAATTCACTGTTCATCCACTTACGTAATTTTAACTGACCATCATTTCACATCATCTTTTACATCAGGTCGACTTTGATTATTTTATTTTAAATATTATTTTAGTATAAACTCAAAATCCCACTAACAACTAATTATACCACTTTTTTTCAAAATTAACCATACCAAACCAAAATATAAAGGTTCTCAAATGCCCAGCTTTTGGTTTTTGTATGCACAAGACTAAACCATAATATAATGGAAATTTCTGATCGACCTAATTGTTTTACAACTTAATTAACCACACACATATTCCGTAGCTAACTGAACTGCCTACCCCTTTTACCTCCCTCCACAGAAAAAAACAAAAACTCAACTTCTTCCCAAAAACCAGAATAAGTTTTTACATGAATTGGGAATGTGATACAATGAAAGGACATTATGCAGAAATTCTGAAGGAAACAAAAAAACCCAGGAACAGGGAATGATGATTATGAGTGACTACAATGGAGTTTTTGCATACTCTCAAAAATAATTAATTATTCTTCTGGATGGAAGAGTAAGAGAAATTAAAAGAAAAGAAAAGA